CCGCGCGTTCTGAGCCTGGCAGCGTGAGCTGGCTGGGATGGGGTGCTCAGACCTGCAGAGGTTCAGTCCACGCTCCGTACCCTTGAAACCTCGTGATTCAGCCAGCTTTGGGGCCTGGAGCCCCTGCCGGTGAAAACATCCGATTTTCCCCTCTTAGGAAGTTACTCGATCTCTGGCACGATGGGAGGGACGTGGTTTTCCAGTCGCGCGTTGCCACCAGCTCTGGTTTCAGCACTTGTCACTCGTCCACCTTTGCAATAAAGCAGCCTTGATCCTTCGCAACGGAGCCCCTGGGTTTGTCCTCTGTGCTCGTCACTGTTCACCCAGGTGAAGCCGGCTGGGAGGGGGCGTTTTGCTCAGATCCAGGGAGTCGCCACTTCCCAGAGGAGCCAGGCGATGGAAAACCAAACGGTTTGCAGCATTTAGAGGCGGGTGTAGCGCCTGACCTTCGGAGCTGGCGGGTGCGGGATTGACTGGTCCATGGGACGCTGCCAGCCTGGCCGAAAGGAGTTTCCTACCTGGACTGCGGTTCTTTCTGCTGGTGGAAACGCCTGCCTGAGGCCCAGGAGCTTTTGGCTCAAATTGCCCAATTTTCAGCATGTGCCTCTGGGAGCAAAGCTTTGCAAAGAGGGCGCTCCCCGCCAGGAGCTCTGCCCCGCTTCCCTGTCCCAGCGAGGGGCTCGGCTCCGTTTCAGGAGGGATCCTTCCCGTTCACATCATCAGCCGGCGAAATGTTGGCTTTACGGGGAGTGTCTGCTCTCCTCGTGGGGCTTTTGAGGGAGACCTGAAGTGGCGGGAGGGGCGCCGCTTCGACAGAGCTCCCCGAGATCCCTCGCACCGGCCGGGCTTGTCCCCACGCAACTGCTTTTACTTCTGCCGCTGATCCCAGCCCTGTCCCTCCCGCTCGCTCAGCTCCTCTGCCTGCCTGCTGGACCTAACAAATCTGCCACGCCTTTAATTAGCAGCAGTCATCGCAGCCCTGGGGGGACCCGGAGCCTCGACGATGGGGACTCACAAAGGAGCAGCAGCCCGCTGTCGCGCAGCAGAGGGAGAAGCGTCGCTGCTCAATCCCATTCCTGCAGCCCCGCGCCCCAGCAGGACCGAGCTTCTCCTGGGTGGAAAAGCAAATGTATTTTAGCTTTAAACCAATTATTTCCTGCAGTTGCTGAAACGGCTTTTATTTGGAAGCCACTTCTGCTCGCTAATGAGCTATTCTGTGGTGCGTGCCAGCTGCTAACGAAGTTCGGCCTCGCTGTGTCTCGCAGCTGCGTGTCGCAGACTTCATTTCCTTCGCCAGCCGTGGCAGGGGGCTGGCAGCACTGCCCCGGGGCCAGCACTGCCGCTTGCCCAGGGATGGGAAACAGCCAGTCCTGCCTCCCCCCTGCCCCCGTGACGCGGGGAGGGGCTGGGGGTGCCTCTGGCTGGGCCCACATTTCCAGCACAAGATGCTATTAAATGGGACGAGCCAAGGTACGCCCTGGCGAGGGCACCGTGTCCGACGCTGAAGCCCCACGCAGCCCGCGCCTGCCCTGAGCTACTGAAACCAAACACGGGGATTTATTATTTCTTTTTAAACTTGTATTTTTCCAATTGCCATGAAAACATAAGCGCTGTCCCGGCATTAGCCTCGCTCAGGCTTCCTTGACGCGTTCCCCTTCCTCACCCTCGGGGGCAGGAGGGTGGTTTCTGTTTGTCTGTTCGCCCAGGGGGTGGGTGGTTTGCAGGAGAGGCCAGGACCATGAAAACATAAGCGCTGTCCCGGCATTAGCCTCGCTCAGGCTTCCTTGACGTGTTCCCCTTCCTCACCCTCGGGGGCAGGAGGGTGGTTTCTGTTTGTCTGTTCGCCCAGGGGGTGGGTGGTTTGCAGGAGAGGCCAGGAGCAGCTGGGGAGGGGAAGGGCGGGGGGCAAGGCCAGCTCAGAGCCCTGTGCGAGACGGGCGCCCCTCGCTCACGCCTGCGGCTGATCCTCTGGGAGCGGCCTCCCCCCCCCCCGCACACGGGGGCCCCCTCCGCCCG